GGCCAAAGAATTGCAGGTTTCCTCAATTCCGAACTTCTTGCAGTAACATGTCCTTAAATTAAACTTGCAGAAAGTATTAGTTGCACATCATGACAAAATGCTAGACCTTCCCAAGACTATATTTTTGACAAAATGCCAAACATTTCTGATGAAGTGTCAATAACACATCTTAACACACTCAAGAAAGTATTTTAACACTAAAATGCTCACAAAACTCCACTATTTCCAGTAAACTGTCTCAAGGTTTCAACTTTTGCCAACATTTTTATGGTGTTTTATGAACAGCCAGTCATATGACGGAACTCTTTCTTCATTTTTCTTTTTCCTTTTTTTTTTTACAGGTCACAATCAAAACAAAAACCACGATGGAACTATCAATGTACGCAGGAGGTACATGCAAGCACATCTGATTTCAAAGTATTGATACATGTGGCCCACATGGCAGAGCAGTTGCAGGAATGTTGGACACCTATCCAACATGAAAACACAATGTATGTAAACTAAAGAAAAAGTGGAATGAGTCCTTCATGCAAAGTGTCCTTGATACCATTTGTTTTGCACAGTGTTTGAAAAATTTCTGGTCCTGATTGGGACCTATCCGATTCCTGTACTGAATTGACAAGTTGGCCATATGGAGTGACTTAAATCTATGTATAGACCTATGTTATTTTTATTTGAAATATATTACATATATCAAAGAAACATATCAAATAGTTTTTTGTTTGATTTTTACTTTTATGTTCTTTCAGTGATTTAAAGATCATCAATCCAGACAGGGAACCGGCAATCTAGATCAGGAATAGGTATGTGTTGTGCTGGTTCTAGGCTGGAATCAATGGTTTCATATCTCTTATAGTATATAAAATACAAATCTCACAAGGTTTCCTATCTTATGTAGTATATAAAATACAAAGTTCACATCATAAAACTAAGAAGGTTAGTTTGGTAAGAATGTGTGGCTGGAAAGCGAAAGGTTAAGTTTCAAGCCCCATCCTAGTGCTCTAATTGCAAATTTCCATTTACTTTATATTGTTTTACCTGATCACCAATCCAGCTGATCCAGATCAACTTTGGTGGGTGGGCCATCCACCCACTGATTTGCTTTTTAGACCACTTTTTTTTTTTGGGCCGGATCGCTAATTAACCCGATTAAGATTGGAATCCCTGGTTGGGTTATTCGCCCCACCGATCTGTGTTTGAGAATAGCGGTCTTTTGCAAAATGCAAATTGACCAAGTAACTCTTACTTCTAATTGAAATATTGAGGAAAGCACAATTTTGTTGCTTCTTCAGACAGTATTCAAAGTCAAAAAGGACATTTTCACCTGAACAAGAGCACTTCAAATCCTGAACTTCCACGTACTGACCGCACATATTGATACTTGACAACTATATGCTAAAGAGAGCTATGTGCATTTTTTAATTTGACTTGCCTCTCATCTGGTTGAGACCATTCGATATGGTAATTACTAATTTCTTAACTGACTCATTGCATCAATCGTCTGAGTCTTGTGCTACCCCTAACATATACTGTATTTTTCTAAGTTTTAATCATGCATTCACACATTATCCAACAGGTATACACAAAGAAGAGGAACAAGCACGAGGAGAAGAGACTAAACCGCCTTGTTTTTGTTCAGGATAATCAAAAACTAAAGGAATGCAATGAAGTCGATCCCAATACTGGAGATGAGGAAGTATTCCATGAAGAGGACTTGAACTCAAGCCAAGTTTGGGAGTATTTTGGAACCCACTAAGCCTTGTACAGGCTACTATATCTCATCTCAAGGGAGGTTTAGGAGAGAGAGGCAAGAGGACGAGGTCAATGCGAACCCAAAGAAGACCAAGGGAAAAAAGCATTATGTGGAGGGGAATGACACAGGTCGTGATGACTTTGTATCATCATCAACTTCAGGTACATCTGGTGGTCGTCATGATGGAGATGGTATTGCTAATGGTGATGAAACTAGAAATTTTAGTTCATCTTTTTTTTTCTTTGTTCTTTTTTTTTTAAGATTTTTGTCTTTTGAGTATTGACTTTTGTGAGTTGTAACTTTTGGTTCTTAATATTTGATTGTTGTAGATTGTGCAATATGTATTGACTTCTGTGAGTTGTGACATTTTGTTACTGATCTATACGACTTTCTATGAATTATATGCAAGTTTCAATATTCTAAAGTTTTAGTAATTCAATTTCACGTTTCAAACTCATGAATGTATTAATTTGAAATGGAAAATCACCATAACACACACAGAAGACCTTAGAGAGAGTTTACTTCTTTTAAATACTAGTTTATGAGTTCACTTGACGGGTTTGGGTTTGGCATCCAAGTTGAAACCCCCCCAAAAAATAGTCCCGACCAAGAACCGGCCAATTAGTGGCCACTCCGGTCCAGTCTGACCACCTGGACCAAAATGTCCATCAAAAAGATAATGAATTGGATTAGTCCAGTCTCTCTGATCTGATAACCTAGACCAGAATGTCCACCAAACCAATAAAGAACCAGCAGTCCAGTCAATGGAAAGGGTGCTAATGAACCTGAGATAATATATTTTCCTCCCCATTTTCTTCAACTTTATTTTTCCAATATTTGGGTTTTTTGGTTCTTTTTAATTCTTTGTAAGAGCATTTTGGTCTTTTGGCTCAAAAGGTGGGATTTGGGATTTAAATGCTTATTTTATAAAGAGAAAAATGCTTTTTAAATTTTTACTCTCTCCTTCTCACCACCTGAAAGCACCCCAACCCTAACCCTATTTTCTGGTGACTTCCAGGGAAGATTCTAGCCTTCATGCTGCCCGATTTGAAACCCCAATGGATTTGCTATAAATAGGGCTGCCAACTTGCTCTAGGCTCTGGCCTGACCTGGACATATTCGGTCAAAACTGGGCTTGGCACGAGCCCAAAATTTTGGTTTAGGCCCGGCACTCAAAACTAAAGAAGAATTAAGGCTTGAGCTCAGCCCAGGTCAAAAAGTTTAAAGGCTGGGCCAGGCCAAGCTCTAAAATAAATATATAAATATTTTGTTTATAATTATTAAAAATAAATATTTGATATATTTTACACATTTAGCATTTTTCAGGTTGGAAATGAGCTGCAGCAAGGCTAGCATCCTGAAAATGCATCAAGCCTTCCGAGCACGGCCCACCATGACCCAAAATAGGGCCAGGCCCAAAAGCCTGCAGGCCAACTGGGCCAATTGCATCCCTAGCTATAAACGAAGCTTTTTTTTTTAAATCAATGCAAAATAGTATTTTCTTTGTTGATTTTAGTGGTTATTTTACCTTAAGGAAGTTTCTTGTTGTATATTTTTGTTTTCTAGGAAGCCTTCTATGCAGTTTTTAAAAATAAATACTCAGTTTGCTTGGTTTTCTATTTTTATTTTTGTCCCACTATTCTTGTTAAAAAAAATTTTGATTCTTTTGAGTTTCATATTTTCCTTTTTTTTAATACTCTTCTTTATTTTTTTCATTTTTCTTTTTTTTTTAAAAAAAAATTATGTAAGCAGTCAAACTGGGGAATGGATGAGGAATGGCCTGTCAAACTGGACTGGTGCCCTCACTGGTTTGGTCACCAGTCTGGTCCAAATAACACTGCTAAATACGTCCAATATGAAACAATATGAGACACCACATCATTTTTATATATGGAGCCAACTTGAATTTTACCCCTTCTTTCAGAACATCAATTTAACTAGCATGAATTGTCTGTTTTCTTACAAAAAGCTTGTGGTTGCCCAATCAAGCTACTTGCAAGCCTAGAACTGAGACAGGTTTCCTTAAAAGTAATTCTTAAGAGTGCACAACACTCTATAAGCTCCAGGGACATATCTAGAGGAAGGCTTTTACTGACCATATTCACAAATCATCCTGAGATTTCCAGTAGTAGGCATATGCATCATGAAGCTGCAAGCCTACAACTATGCACATTCCTCATGTATGAGAGGAGATGGTGAAAATTCTGAGAGTATTCTATAGCTTCTAAAATTTGCATAATTTTTCACTTACAAACAAAAAATCCTAAAAAATATTCACAAATAACTCATTTGTTCTGAGCATATCATATACACCATGAGCAAAAATAAGTGACACTCAATTAGAAAGAGATGGCAAAAAATGGTTCAACGCCTGCTCAAACAATCCTACATTGCACGTGAGGTTAGACTGTAAGATTTAGGCAGGCTGCAAATGAAAATGAATCATCTAAAATGCAGATGGCCATGTGCTGAATTTTCAGAAAATGAGTTAAATAGTTTTGTGGTTTAGATTTTTTGGCTGCCATTTTCCATCTCTCTCCGCCACCTACATCTCAGTCCAACTATTACACTCCAATCTTCAAACACGACCTCCACCTCAACCTCCACCCCTGACCACCACCTCCACCTCCACCTCCACCTCCACCTCCATCCATCACGACCTCAATAGAAGAGCTCCTCTTCTTTTCATTATAGTTGCAGGAGCTAGGTAATGTGACCATTTCCAAAAGGCTTGCTGGTTGTTGCTTAAGAACCAGTAACCTTCACAAACCCTTGTAACTCATTTGAAAGAGTGTCATTTATTTCAATTTCCCAATATCTAGAGCTACCCCATCAGTGTCCAATCATTTACTTGGAGTGAAGAAAGCAAAATCCGAAAACCGACTAAAAACCAGCAAATAGAAATGCTCATCGTAGGAAAGTCCAATACAAACCTTTCTGACTGATAAATAGAAATTTTTCCATTTTTCCCTCTCCTATATTGACTACTACATTCTCAACTATGTTAAACATAATCCATCAGCTACAACTGTATTTTTTGGCAAGTAACATAGGAATGATCTCTAATTACAATACCATTGCAGGAGCATATACTCATCAACAGGAGAAGAAGAAGAAAAGAAAGAATTCCATTACGCTCAGGGTGAGAGAGAAAGAGAGAAAGAGAAACAGAGAGTCCTATTCTCAATTGACTTCACGACCACACAAGATCAGAGAGTTAGAGAGAGGGAATTCCGCTTCTCAACGAACTACGTCACCCAAGAACATGGACAGAGAGAGACTTTGTGTGAGATTCAATTGAATCCACAACTTTCTAAGATCAGAGAGCTATATAAAAACTCCATTCTGATCAACCACCCTGAAAGAAACCATACCATCCTAGGAAAAAAAAAAGGAAAAGAAACCCTTTTTTCTGTTATAACAGTGTTCCCTCCCCTGACATATCAATGCCTCGATTAAAAGAACCCAAAACTGTCTCCTCTCTCTCATCAATCTCACCGAATTTGAACCCAAATTCCCATTACCATGACATAGAAACTCTCAAACTCCAATCAGTGCCTATCAATGGGGATCAGAGCAACATCTACAAGGACCTCACCCCCGTCACTTCTCACACCAGACGCCAATATTACCCTTTTCTCCTTCTCTTTCTAGAAAATAAAGCGGCTCAATTGAGGGCGAAAGTGAAAAAGGAGTAATAAATGAGACCACCGTTCGACAAGCATGATTTGGAAATGAAATAAAGAAAGAGGGTAAGACCTCTTCTTCTTTTTTGTTCTTCAATTCGCAAATGGAGCTTCATTCAACATTGGCATCCAAACATGCATCATTTATAACTTTTTAGTTTTCAGTATACATGAACACAGTAAAACGCCAAATGCCTTTAAACCATTGTTGAAAGTGGCATCCAAACATGCACTTAACCACAGGACATCTTTAGAAAGTATAGAAGAAATACATGTTTGTCATCGCATGCTGATAAGGATAACAGTTCCACCTGAACCCATATATGATTTACTAATTTGGTGTGATATAAATTCAACGCATATTACAGTTACAAAATTTAAAGTTCCAAAAAAAAAATTTACAGTGGCCAAATTTACATGAATTTGGCCATAGTTTCTATCTGTCAACTGCCATGTCTCTCCACAATTTCCTCATACATTTCATTGTCAAAGCATTTTCCCATCTATCTCCTTAATTTCAAATATGCATAACATGACCTTTGGGGTTTTCATTTCCTTGAGAGACATTCAAATTGTTTAGGGGCTTTAAAGACTTTAAAAAATAATGAATACAAACAGGGGCTATGTTCATCTAAATTCTAAAATCTCTCCATTTCTCTCAGCTATGGCACCCTCCTTTTTTGCCAACTTTTTTGTCGTATATGGTACGTTTTTTAGATCCCTTATTCGGACATTTTTGTTGATAGATAAGCTTCAAATGTGTTTTCGTTTTCATTTTATTGCATGATGGTGTTTTCTTATCTTGATATTTACTTTCCCTTTTGAACTATTTCTTTCAATTTACAGTTTGTCACACTTTAGTTTTCCACCACGCAATAGTATAGTGTGGTTATGTGCTGATTTTTTTTTTTAATATGCTTTTATTTATTTGATGCTTATGGCAATGAATTGGTGCACTGCACCATCCGTAAGCTAGTTAGAAATATTTTGAATTCCAACTATCGAACTCCTACTAAAGGACACATGAAGACAGGGAATACTGAATTTGCACAAGACAAATAAATCTAATGTTTTCTCCAAAGATACACTTAACCAACTGGGAGAAGTTTCTCAGGGTCAACTCTTTTTGTTCAACTGCATGAGACAGCTAAACCATTGCCAAATTTCCATAGAGACACTACATGGAAACATGAAACAATCTTTCAATAACAATCCGGAGTTCAAATAGTTTAGAACAAAACAGAAGAAAGTATCACTTCACAAGAAATAGATGGAACCAACAACAAAACAGAGATTTCATCAGGCATTTGATTCTAGTTTCTTAGATGTTGTCGTATCCAACAAATGAGAAAACAAAACAGAACTTCCATTCACCTAGGAGGTATAAAATCGACAGCATCCAAAGTCCTTGAAAATTTATGCATATAAGCCAGAAAATGGACTTTCTGATACACTTCAGCAAGGAACAAGACATAGGAAAGTATCAGTTCAAAAGAACTACTTGGTATCAACTATGAAACAGAGAGTTTTGTCAGGCATTTGATTCTTAGTTTCTTGGATGTGAGGAACTGAGCTTGGGCTTGAGTGGCTAGCAACTGACAATTAGCATCTCTACATCTCAAGTTTGATTTCTACCACTGAACTACCCAAAAAAAATAAAAATTCTTGGATGTTGTTATATCCAACAAATGGGGACACAAAATATTGAGATGAGAATATTCCATTCAGCTAGCAGGTAGGAAAATGGCAGCATTCAACTGCCACTATAATTTGCATAGAAGCCAGATAATGGAAATTCTGATACATTTCAATGATCTTATTATTATTAACTGCACCTGGAAGCCATATGATCAAGTTTTACAGGGGCGAAAATATCATACGCAAACAAAATATCCACATCTCATGCAACACATCCAAAGACAGGATACATTTAGAATCACAGACTCAGCTCCAACATGGACGGTTATGACTCCCTCAAGCTGTAAACGGTGACTACTTGCACCATGAATCACAATAGAGAAATATATAAATCAAAGAAGCCATAGTCATAATAGAAAGAAACTGAGCTTGATGATTTTGTAGAAGCAAGAGGAGCCACTTTGACCTCGCCACTATCACAGGCACTAAGCAAGACCTAAGAAATTAGGTGCAATCAACAGGAAACCAACTGATATCTTACATAAACTAAAACACTACACCTTTGGGGCTGCCATTGGATATTCTTCTGGCAGAAATAACTCCAACTTGAAGACTCCTCCTAAACATACACGCGTAAAGTAAAATTAATTAGTCAACTATATCAAATTAGCAACAGAAGTATCTCTCTAAGAGAAAATTCATACCAGTTCGTTCTCTAGCTAACTGATCAAAAGCAATTTAGAAGATCACTCGTGTTGATACAGTAAATCCACATATATGGCAAGAATAACATGCAAATATAGGCTTGAGAAAAATCAGTTCTAAACGGAAAATTCAGTTGTACAACAACACTACCAAGAAGAATCCAAGCCTAAATAGTTGGCATAAGGCTCGATGATGATGATGAGCAACATTTTCAAGAACAAGAAAAAGGAAAAAGGAACTATTCTTTTCACTCAATAGATGGAATATATGTTTCTTCCTTCACGAAAACATCAAACAACCCACAGGTCATTTGGCCAAACATTAGTTCCCAGTTTGAGGATACCCCCAAGAAGTGTATATAAAAGGAGCAGGAGGAAGCGGGGAGTGGGTAAAGTAAAACTTGGAATTGCCTTGGGACAGCATAAGAAGCACAGGTTTCTAAATTGAGAGACACAGTAGCAAGTATCTAGCAACAAAGTCCAGTTGAGCTGTGCCAGTAAAGCCTCAGTTTTAACCTTCTCAAATACACACATATATGTATTAGAAGAAGAAAAAAAAATTGTTGGCTAACCAACACTAAAAAAAACACATAGACACATGTCAATGACATCAACAAGGAATGATCCCATCTTGTATTACGAAATGCTCACCCAATCCAATGTGTTAAGACAATATGGGCTCAACAAATGAGAAAATATGAGGGGAAAGGTATAAATCTCCTTAGGGACCATCTGGTCCACGAGTGTGAATTTTTTATTTTTGGGCAGTCGGCAGCCTTAGGTTAAAGGAGGAACCTATACTTGGGCACAATAAAAGAAGAGTTTAACAAGGGTTATGTACATGCTAGTTTGAGGTGTAAGTCTGACGTAGTGGATTTTTTATTTTTTATTATTTTTATATTTTATGCATTAGAGTTGTTTTTTGTATTTTCGTCCTTTCAGATATTTAAAGGGCAAAATAGGAAATTTTCTATAGGAGTTAATTAGGATATATTTTGTTAAAAGTTGTAGATAAGGGAATCCTAGTTTTAAGGGATTTAGTAAACTTAGATATTTCTTAGGAAGAGATTAACACGAGATTGGGAAAGGGGAGATTTACCAAGATTAGGAGAGGGGAAAATGTGGGGTAAAGATAGAGAGAATATGTTCGGAGTTTTATTTTATTTTCATTTTTTTAGTTTGTATTTAAAAGGGAAAGACATACTTTTATTGAAGATAGTGAATTGAAAATTGTTCTAGGTCTTGTGAAAAGATCTTTGGGTTGGACTCCCTTGCATACCCTGAGAGAGGGTATATTCCTTGCAAACCCTAAGAGAGTGTATATTCTGCCATCTATTTATTCTTATTGTTATTTTCCTTCTTATTTTTTTCAGCACATTAGTTGGTATCAGATCCAGTACACAGAGATCAGAGATCAGAGATCCATATACCATATGGAGCATATGTTGTCCATTATTATATGCTCGGAAATCTCATGCTTGATAGCGTATTATGCATCCCATGATAGTTGAAAAAACTAAAAGCAATCGACATTTATCTCAAGCGGTTGCATTGATAATCTAAATGCACTTGGGTTTAAAATTAAACTGGGGCCAAGTTTCATGCTTTGAAACGTCCCCCCCCCCCCCCTCCGCCCCTCCTTTTCCCCCTCTTTCAATGAGTAGCAATAGTAGCTAAAATGAGTGTATATCTAGTTGTAGACCCCAAAGATCTTTTCACAAGACCCATATCAATTTCTTTACTCAATTCACTATCTTCCATAACAAGGATGTTTGTCCCTTTTAAATACAAACTAAATAAAGAGAATAAAATAAAATAAAACTCCAAAAATATTCTCTCTCTACCCATGTTCTCTCTCTTTACCCCATGTTTTTCCCTCTCCTAACCTTGGTAAATCTCCCCTTTTGCAATCTTATATTAATCTCTTCCTAAAAAAAACTCTCAGTCAATTAAATCCCTTAAAACTAAAATTCCCTCATCTACAACCTTTAACAAAATATATCCTAAGTAACTCCCATAGAGAATTTCCTATTTAGCCCCTTAAATCTCTACAAAGACAAAAATAACCCTACACATAAAATCTAAAAATAGCAAAATAAAAAGTAAAAAAGCCCATTGCATCAAAGCCACTCTCAGTAGTATTACAGGTCTCAAGAATCACAAGATGCGCAAATGTTCCCAATGTTGATTCTATCTGTCGCAAACAGGGCAAAACAAATGACGTCCTCAAGTGAGTCCATCAAAGCCAGAAAAGAAAATCTGCTTACATGTGATCAATGAAATGATCAAATTAGCCAAGAATACATCTCATCATCATAATTGCAAAGAAAAGCACATCATGAAGGAGAGTTTGCTTATGATTCGCTCTATGGGAAGTCTTTTTGTTGTTTCTAGTCGTACATAGTTCATAGCCTCTCAGAATCATGACATCCTCCTTCACAGAGAAGGGGGGGAAGGAAAACCATCGAAGCATGATACTTGGCCCCGGGCTCATTTTAGACCCAAGGACATTTAGATTATCGTTGCAACAAATTGAGATAAATGTGGATTGCTCTTAGTCTTTTCAACTTCCATCAACATGGGATGCAGAAAACAGTATCAAGCATGAAATTCCCCGCATATAATAATGGATAACATATGCAACATGCATAATAAGTAGTAAAATAATGCATTTCTCTATTGTATGAAAGTTGTATGTCCAAAGACAATAACATAAGCAATCAAAATATTAAACACAAGAAGCAGCAACATCTAATACTAGAATTCCAATTTTGGTGGTACTAAGTCATAATAATTATCAAAAAAAAGGTTGTCCAATTCATAACAAAGAAAATTATAGATCCCAAGTTGCACCCAGATCAATACTTCTATACTCAAATGTTCGACATGCATTCATATGCTTGTAAGGCGAAGGAGGGGAGAGAGAGAGAGAGAGAGAGAGATAGATAGAGAAACACCATCAGAAGCTCACAATCAGTTCACCCCCTCCCTCCGAATGTGAGGTTTCATAACAAGGTGGGCATATGCAAAATGGAAAATCTAAAAAAATCAATTGACAGAGTCTGGAAACATCAAAAAACACAATTTACAACAGGGACATTACCTTTATCTAGAGTTCTTATAATTCACCATCAGTCATTGCTTTCTTAAGAGTTAAAAGCTAGAAACTGAAAGGATGCTACTGAAGGAAGATGGATACCTTCATATGGAGACTGAGTAGGCCCAAGAATCATCACATTGAAATATCGCATATTGTCTTCAGAAGGTGATGCACTGATGCCAGGAGCTGTACTCAAACATAGCATTGAAGAAAAATATTCCCCATGCATGGCGTGTGATGAATGAACAGCATCCCAAATCAAACAAACAATATACAAACAATAATATATAAAAAAAAGCGCAAACACTATCCTAACGAAACATGACAAAAGGCACAAATTCATGATCAACCAGCTCCCAAATAAATACCCCATTAATCTGGTTAGCTGCCATGAAAATTGAAGAGATTATTTTAAAAGAGGAGTTCCACATCGTGATTTCACATACCCCGAAATTGTGGTCAATCAACCCAGAAACACCATAGCAATGCATCAAACGAAGGAAATTGCACATCCAAACCATCTCAGCGCGATATTTCTCTCACAAACCAACAAAAGAAAAAGCAGAACAAACAGAAAAACATAAGAACGAAGAACTTCCCAAAGGCATAATACCTGGGTCGCTGAGGAGCCTCTGCGTCTCCTGATCAATCAATCACACAAAGAAAAACACAATAAACACCAGGATCAATAGTACACAAAACAATCAGGCCAAATAAAACAAAACTAGGGTTTAATAAGAAGGCAAAAAAGACTCAAATTTCATGAACTTCAAGGGGACAATGAAGCTGTATTCTCCTACAAGATCCAAAGTACTAAGAGAGCAGGGATGAGAGAGAAAACCTTGATTATACGGCGAGGAAGATTGGTGTTGGCCATGGAAGACTACAATCAGAAACCCTTGCTGCTCTCCCTCTCTGCAACAAATTGAGGATGGTTAGGTGTTCTCTCACCAATTGGGGTTTCCAACTAATTGTTATCATCCATTTATATGTGAGGAAAGGGCATATACTTTTCTACTGTGTATACAATCAAAAGCATTTGAGAAGGGGAAAAGACGGATGTAACCCTGAGTATTCCAATGGACTCGAAAGATCACGGAAAAAGTAGCTTGAAGAGGACACAATCTGATGGTCCTAAATTCATTTTAGTTTATTTTATTTTTTTACTATAAAAGATCTGTTTATTTTTATTTTTTTAGTATAAAAAGATCTTGCATATTTTAATTAAAGGCGAAGCCTTCTATGCTTTTCCTACATTAAACTTATATACTTCCTCTTATCAACCGTTCATTCTGAATTTAGGGCTAAGAATGTCTCAATCATAATATCACGTCTCTACATCATTTTATTTTTTATTTTTTTTATAAATTATTTTAACACCAAATTTTGGACATCTCCTGTGAAAATATAAAAAAAATATTTTTAATAAAATAAAATGACCAAAGTACCTCTAAAAGTTTCAAAATGTATTTTGGTCATTTTATTTTATCGAAAAATTATTTTAAATATTTTTTAAAGGTACGGCCCAATGAGATGATGACATGTACCAAATTTCATATTCATACAATTTGTATAAAAAAGTAAAAATAAAATATTTTGAAACATCGGATCTAAGATCAAACGGTGAGTGGCTCTCTTGATCAAAATTGAACTGCTGGATGGTAGGGAAAGCATAGATCTTTTATGCTGAGGGGAAGTATAGAAATCTTTCCCTCAGCAAAATCCCTCATTTTTTTTTTTCTTCTTTTTTTTTTTTTTTTTTTTGTAAATAGCTCAATGGTAGGATTCAAACTCGAGATGTAATTTGTTCAGTCAAGTTCCGCCTACTTATCAGCTCTACTCGTTCAGCATAGTATATTCCTAAACATTTTTCTGTATGGCCCAACTAGGTCACCTATACTTTATTTTTATGGGTAAAAAAGTTAATCAAAAAATTATTGTTAAATATAGATATAAATTTAAGTTTTGTTAAAATTATTGTGTTGCATTAAATGTAAAAAGTTTGACAAAATTGTTTATTATAAGCATTCTATATACCACAAAAGTGTTATGTTGTAAATTTGAAGTTATTTTTCATTAGTAAAAATTTGCTAAACAATTATTGTTAAATAGAGATTTATAGTTTTATTATTTGTTTAAATTCTTTCATTCTACAAATAGTGTAAATAAATTTAACAAAACTTTTGACTTTAAACATTCTATATACCCACAAATGTATTATAATACACATTTGAAGTTCTTAATGTAATCTAATAAGCTGTTTAACCTAAAAGGAATTTGGGACTCCTTTTTCCTCTCTTCCTTAAAGACCTTCTTTGTTTCTCTTTTTTTTTTTTTTCTTTTTTCTTTTTGTTTCTTCAATTATGAAACCCCAACAATCAAACTGAAAGGTTTTTTTTTTTTTGTGGGTAAGTGACTTATAGGGTTTTCCTTTCATTTCTTTCCTTTTCTTTCCTTTTGCTCTTTCTTTGTTTATTTTCTCTCTCTCTCTTCAATTTTTTCAAAGTTACTCGAGAGAGCTACGTTTCTTATTTGAATTTGAAGTGGAGTTTCATAAATAAAATTTTCGCACATTTTAACTAATTTACATAAAAAATAAACTACTCTAGAGAAATTGAACATTAAAAATATTATTTATATGATAGCAAGTTGAGAGAGCATAATGGTTATTTTCTTGAAAACTTTAAGAATTCCACGAGTGAGTGGCGAGTGTGCACACACAATGCGTGTGTGTCTGTATGCAATAGAGAGATAGAGAGAGAGAAAATAGTACTTAAGGGCAAATTTCAAGTTTTACTTGCGTATGGATGTGTAAATAATAAAGAAAAACATACAAAATCAAATATATTGTATATGTGCATGAAAAATAAGGGATTGTCTACAAAGAGACCATTCATCTTTTGTACGTGAAGGTTACAATCATTCTTATCCCTTAAATTTCAAAATGGGTGGCTGTAAGAGTGTCATTGAGTAGACACAAAGTTTCAAAAACAATCTTTGGATTTGTGACTCACTTAAAACCATCCAAATTGAAATGTAATGAGCGGGAATGATTGTGACCTCTATGTACAAAAGATAATTTGTCTTTTTGCCAGCAATCCCAAATAATGACCTAATATTAAATAGAGAAAGTATCCATTTTTTTAATGGTCAAGCACTGAAGTTGATTTTCATATAAGTTGATTTTGCCAAATAATGTGCATGTAAATTTATAATACACATAGAACTAGGAGAAAACAATAGTTTGTGGTTTTTCCTACTTTGATTTAACACAATGGTGGCCTACCCTGAAAAACATAGCAATGAAATGAGCCAAAATGGCCTATACTCAAATCCCACCTCAATCTATTTTTAAATCCTCTCTCTCTCTCAAAATAAAAAATTACAAACATCTATACTGTCTAAACCCTGCCTTATGTAACCCTTTCCTTTTTTTGGAACATTAACAAGGATCACTTTCACTAAACTCAAAAAAATAAAGTGCAAATACAATGAGCAACGCAAGGTACCGGGGACAATGATTCTTAAACAATAAAACAATCATCATTTACACCTTTGCTTTGCAAGCATTTATGCCTCGTGATTTACCTCTATGTCAACATGTATAAAACTAAGATGATTAAAATACCCAATATCTTTAGCTTCCTACACTATAACAGCCAACTTCCAAGGAACCGGTTGCTTCCTCCACAATTTGATTGCAGTCAATGAATACCCCTCCACTATAATTCAATGATGTAAACTACATAAGATTTTTAATCCTTGTAGTATTGCCATCACTTCTACCTTGTTAGTTGTAGCAAGTCCTTGGGGCTTGAAGAACATCATAATAATTGTTCCATTATGATCCCTTATTATCTCTCCTGTACTTGTGTCTCCTGGATTACCAAATGAGCTATCATAAAATTCTAATTTAATTGATCCTAATGAAGATGGAGGCCAGATCATTGCTCTTTTATGTACACACCCATTCATTTTGAATGCCTCTTTGATATTATTAATCAAGTCCAATCTTGGCATCCTCTCCATACTTGCTCATTCGATGCGGCCCAATCTACCAAAGTCTTCTTACATCTGTAACTCTTTGTAAGTTACAGACCTGACCTTTAAAAGTTCTATTTCTTTCTCTCTAAACTTCCCATAATAAGGCAAACCTATAAATTTTCCATAGGCTAGCTCTTGTCTTCAAAAATCAAGGGAAAAGGAGACCATCAAGAATCTCATACGCATGATTAGGAAGAGGATCTTGCAATTGTTCATCATTCATAACCCAATCTCAAATTTGGTAAACAAGTGATTACTAGTATCCTCATTTTCTTTATAGAGTAAATAAACATTGATAACAATATTCCTTCTTTTTCTCAAATTATCAATGGTCAAGAGCATATTTAAAGATTTGTGAGGTACTCATAATTTCCAAATATTTGCTAAACTTGATTGGGTCCATTGAAACCTATCATGGTATTAAATATGATATAAAGATCTGATTGAGAATATATCTTTGGAAAATGGTTGCCATATTGTTTCGTCCTGATCATAAGGCCAATAATGTTGGTACGTGTGAGTGGCCATGGGACCTCACATGTCTCATATTTCTCTCTCTTATTATTTATCTTAATGTTTTAATATTTATCACTTAAAAGGCTTCTTTGATAGAGAAGATGCCTTTATCCAACAGGTAGACGATAAGTACCCACCTCCCAAGGTTAGAGGGTCATATTTCTCAAAGATTCTTGGAGAAAGCCGAACGTTGGAGAACAGCCTCCTCAATCCCTCTATAACTAGGTTTCTATGGCTATGGAAAAGCACACACATAATTAATTGTTGAGTTCTCAGTTGTTCTGGTAAAACCTGATATTTACGATCCCTACTCTCACGACACTACTATTAATCATGGGAGCTTGGTATTTTTCATCTCTGCCTATCAAAAGTCCAACATTGGTATCAGAGCAATAAAGTTCCATTACTGATTTATTTATTTTTTATCATTGCTCTCTTGATATTATTTCATGTTTAATCTATGCTCATCGGTTATCCTATTTCTTTCGATCAGACTTTTGAACCTAATTACGCTATGACAAAGAAAATAAAATCATCAAGTTGTTCTTTCTCTCTGCTTTTACTTCTTGCTCATCATTAAGACAAACAATATATATATATATATATTATGTTGATCGTGGTATTTTTTTTATTCATCCACTGTAAAAGAAATTTTTTGAATATAGCAGGGGCTTCAACCACACGGATATTCATGTTTATCATATCTCTTGGCTTTTAAACGATAGAAATAAATCATCAATTTTTATGTTTAACGCCAACTCTTATCTTCTCTTGTTGGCTAAAAATAATATTTTGTTATACCTTTCTTTTTCTTTTGTCTTTTACATAAGCATCATCCAAACACTTTTTCTTAAGTACAGGGATTATTAAATGTTTTGAAATACAAAAGTTACCTTAACAGTGGAATTGTTTCTCTCTTCATTGTTTTTTGTACATATATAAAGTAAGACTCACTTTTTGTTTCTTTTGTTTTGGAGTTCATTGTTGACCCTGTTTTATTCCACGATTTTGGTTGGTTTCGTTATTTTCTGTCTCTTTCTAGTTACATCTTATTTTCACACATCTGGTTAATCATTCTAAATTGAGCTATTAATAAATGAGGCCCAATGTTTGCTTTTATTTGGTAGCAAGAATCTAAATATCTACCAAGCTTTATCAATATTTATGCCTGTTTTTTTTATGTGCTTTGCCATCCTTGATGTAACTCTTTACTAATCATGGACTGCTAAAAATCAGTCGACTTGCATATCTTTTTTCTTCCACATAACTGTTGCTGAAAATTAGTACATATTTTTCTTGGATTATTTAAAATTATTATGTACATAATAACTATTTGAGCAAAGGTCTACATATCAATTGCTTGCATTTTCTTAGTTTATAATTTAGGGATTTTCTACATATTTTATTTGCATCGTAA